AAGATAAATAAATAACATGTCATCATTTCATTTATTTATAAAAGAAATATTGAATTTTTTTTACTAATCGTTCAAATAGTAAGTTACCAAGAATCACCAGAATTCGAATACAAAGACGATATACCTTTGTATATGAAAAGATCTAATGAAAAAGCAATAGACCTAGCTTGAAATATTTCATTTTCATAAATATAATTATCGAGCTCATTCACATGATGTAGACCTTATATTTTTATTGATATCACAAATTAAGTTCTTTATATTGATAAAGCTACAATAATAATTTTTAAGTTAGTAATAAATAAATAAATATATATTATTATTTTATACATTTGTTAATATTTATAATTAGTAATTTAAAAATAACGATGGAATTAATGAAAGCCGTTAGATTGATAAGATTTGTTGATCTAATTCTTTTATCTATTTTAAAAAAAATTTATAATGCTAAATGTAATAAATAATATATATTTTACCATTAATAAATGACTTACCCATCTTGCAATGTTGTAGAATATTTAATGAATGCAACTTTAAAATATAATAATAATAGAATTAATAATTTATAATTTATAAATAGTAAAACAAAGAATTATATTAAACATACCTGCTTCAATATTCTTAGTTTTTAAATCAAAATTATAAAATCACACAATAACTTATAGATAAAGTGCGTGGTTTGTTATGTTTCTACTGATTAGAATTTTAATTTGACAATTATTCAAAGTACAGAGAGTTATCAAATTTTTCCGAACACCTTTATGCAATATTAATCATAAATTCTTTAGAATAAGTTTATTATAACTTTATATCTAGTACTACATTTTATAATACTAAATTAGTATTTGTCGGCCCTCATCACGATAAAATTCATGACGGCATATTTCAACTAAATTATTGATTATTTTCATCTAACAATTCTTTCAAGGTCCGCAATGCTAATTGGATTTTCTTTTCTATTTTTAATATTTCATCCATGTATTTAATCCGGATTTTGAGCGGGCCAAGAAAGAACTCGAACATTTTGTTCAGCATTAAAAGATCTGCAATCTTTGAGTTCTGGCTTTGTCTTCTTGAAACCAACCATTATTTTTTTTTTTTGGAAAAGATTCGACTTGCATTTGTCACTAAACGTTGATACGAATGCGTTGTTTTTCATCGATCAGCTGTAGAGGCTTGGAATAGTTTCAGCAAACCTTTTGAATGTATTAAATACTGTACATCCGACAATTTTTGAAATTACGATATGAATCACCAATTTTGATTGACAGCATTTCGACCGAATTTTTTGAAAAAGCAATGAATTGTGTGAAAAAGAAAAAATAAAATAATAATAATAAATTTAATTAGAAATTTTTATTTAGTCTAAATAAACTAAACAATATAAAAATTTACCTTTTATGGTATTTGAAAATCCATGAAATAAGAGCCATACAACTATCAAAAATCGTGACTTTTGCCAAAAAGGGATCACAGTCTTAATAATACTTTTGTTCAAAACATTGAATCATTAAAACTTTGGAAAAAATCTTGGAAATTATTGTATTCTACTTTTTTGCTATAAAATTAAAATCTATATTTTTTTTATTGGTTTCATGTTCTAATAATTTAGCTTAAATCATTTTTCTACATAAATTTACGAATTTAATTATATGAATTTATAAAAATAAATTCATTTGCTTAATAACATTTCCTTTTTAATTTTTTTTAAACGATGATCTTGGACGAATTTAGCGCACAATAAAATATATCGAACCAGAAATGTCATTTATAAATAAATAATTACTGTTTGTTCTTGTCATATTATTTTTTATAAATTTTAAAGTTTCTCTCTCCTACAACTTGCAAAATGATAATTTTTAATCAAAATATTTTTTTGCAAAATTCGAGCAATATTAATTTTCGTTTTTTTCGAAATATTCCTATCTAGAAAAAATCTTTGTGATTGTATGCATCATCAATTTTTCTTTAATCACAATTATTAATGCACATAGGTTGTACACACTTAATCCAAATACCCAATCTACTTATTTCACACTTGGAACTTTATCGATTTCTATAGCTTCTACAATATTTACGGTACGAATATTCAAAGATTTGCTTGATTAATTAATTCTCTCTCTTTATCTCTTTTTTTTTGAATTTAAATATTTTTAATTAGTTTCAGCAACAATCAATATTGCATGTAATGATAGTTGTCGCGTGTAATATTTTGCCCATTATATTTAATTATTATTTGATCAAGATATTTGCAGAATGCCCTACTTGTATATATCATGAAGGTTCCATTAAATACGTAAAAATAGATGGGTTCTTTTTGGTTATTGAAGGAATTCTATTTGAAATTATATTAATTGTATTAGCATATTTACTTTGGAGAAATAAGTAAGTATTAATATAATATTTAATACAGGATACGATTACATATTAAAATAATTTTTCTTTAGAACTTGGACTTTTTTTAAGGAATTTAAGGTTACAAGACACAAACATATCAAAAGTGAGTAATTCAAGTTATTGAAAATGCAAATATTATATTACAAGTATTAAAGAAATAAATCTCCCCAATTTCTAAGGAATGTATAAAACGTATCAAATTCAATCAGCATTAATTCATGCTCAAATCGTAATAACATTAACATTAGCATACAATGTTTTAATGATGGAATTATTATCGGCTCATCTGAAAATAATTATGTTTGGAGCTGACATAAAAGAATTATGGGCCAACCCTTTTCTACTTTACTTTATATTTCAGTTCTATATTTTATTAGTATTTAAAGCGGTTAAGTAATTGTTCGAATTTGAACGAGTTAATAAAAAAATCATTTCATACTAACTTTTGTTTTGATTTATAGATTAGAAGTGAATCCCACCTTTTGATGGGATTCATATATTTGGGTAATATAGGTGAATGGTTAGAAGCTTTCTTACAGATATATCATTGGTGCCCAATTGATCTAATGAATGATAGTGAGTCTAGATGTCAATTTTGGAACTTGATAAATAATAATGTTTGGTATAGATACGTATTTATGTACTGTAAGTAAATCATTGTTAATTTTCATTTTCTTAACTCTTTTTTTTAAAAAAATACTTGTATAATTTAAGTTTAATTGATTTCTAGCTACTGTGACCTTATTTATAATTTTGATTCAAACCATTAATACTATAAGATGTCATCGGAACTTTGGGAAAAACTTTGGATTTTATTGTAAGATCAATATCATGTCATCATTTTTTTTCTTTATAAAAAGGAGTATTGAATTTATTTTCTCTCAAATCGTTCAACTAGTAAGGTACCAAGAATCACCGGAATTCGAATACAAAGATGATGTACCTTTGTGTTTGAAAAGATCTAATGAAAAAGCAATCGATTTAGCTTAAATATATTTTGATTATTCATTTTCATTTTTAAGTTAAATGTATATAAAGAGCGTCGTTTATTCTAAAGGTACTTAGTTGTATAGGCAGGTGTATTAAATTTAATGCAATTTGACATTTACCAAAGGAGTTTGTTTTGTTGAATATTATAACCTTTATTTCGTATTTTAATAAGAAAATTCAAAAGTTATTACATTTTTTTGTTAATAATTGTTATGAATACACATGTAACTTTATTTGACATGACATAAATGATTATGCTCATTCGACATAGTGTATTAATATATTCGTAACTACCGTAAATAACCATCCATATTGGTACTAGAACTCAATATGGAGTCATGAAAAAGGATCGCCACGAGAATCTAGGCTGGCAGGCATGTTCTTTCATGCCTTCCTCTCACTACTTCATGATCTTTATTGCATCTTTCGATCTTTATATGCGTGATTATCATCTTAAAAAAATTAGTTAGCGTTAGTATTTACAATTCGAATGTAAATTAATATATCCAAACGTTCCAACTTTTCATTATTTCACAAAAAATTAATTTTATTGCGATATAAACTAAATTTTCTGGTGAAACACTGAGGTAAATGTCTAGTTTTGACGCTTTGCAACCTTTTAATTAAAAGAAAAAATCGCAAATGTTTCGACGAGGAGCAATTCATATTGAAAGAGATTCTCAATTACCCCTACCTTACGAGTGCATTCTTTTTGGATATACTATATCAATGATAATTTGCTGTCTACTTTATGAATTTTTAATTTTGAAGAAGAATTCCTGTATTTCTGGCAAGATCCAAAACATTCTACTAAGTAAAAATGGGCAACATAAATTTTAATTTGAATTATAATTTTTTTTTAATATTCAAACTTTTTTCCACGAACCATCATACTATTAAATAAAAGATTAGGTATTATGAAATATTAGTTATTATTAAGACCTAGCTAATGATACAGTATTTCGAAAATTTGAATGGAAAACAAAAAAAAAAGGTTATGGAAAGTAAACAATTTCAATTATTATCACTTATTTATTAGACTTTTCACGAAAGTTTAGAAATACAATTTAACATATCAAGGCACGTTAAATTTTGAAAATTTTGAATGTAATATAATAGAATGAAATCCGTCCAAAATCTGTAAAATTGTTGAAATTCATCAAAAACTGTCAAAATTATTTCCGAAAAGGTTTGACTTTTGTCATTTTATTAAAAAAATTAGCATTATCAAAACCTCTATTAAGCAAGTTTAATTAATATAACGAAAGAAATTTGCTATAAATGTAAATTTTTTTTTTTTTAAATGATCATCGATTTATGTAATTTGAAATTTTAAAATAGTTTTTTGTTGTCGCACGGAAAAAGTATTTCTGGGATTCTGTGAACCCGAGGTCATATTTTTTTAAGGAACCAAATTTGAAATTAAAATTTTTTATTCTTTAAATTTTTCTTTTATTAATTTGCAAAACATGATGGTTTTTAATCGAAATGCATTTTTGCTAAATTCGAGTAATATTAATTTTCGTTTTTTTTCGAAATATTCCTATCTAGAAAAAATCTTTATGATTGTATGCATCATCTATTTTTCTTCAACCATAATTATTTATGCACATATGATGCATACACTTAATCCAGCAACCCAATCTTCGATGTTCACACTTGTATTTATATTAATTTATGCAGCTTCTGCAATATTTACGGTACGAATATTATTAAAAGATTAACTTGATTATTTTTTCTTTCTAAAGAAAAAAAAATTTTTTTTTTTTTGAATAGTTTCAGCAGCAATCTGTTTTACATGGAATTGTGCTTTGCACTTGGAATATATTCCCTATCATACTTAATTATTTTTGGATCAAATTATTACCAGAATGTCAAATTACAACGTGTTCATCACATGAAGATTCTATTATATACAAGGTCAAAATGGAGGGTTTTTGTTTGCTTTTTGAAGCAATTCTCTTTGAAATAATATCTATTATATTAACATATTTACTTTGGAGAAATAAGTAAGTACTAAATTTAAGTATTTAGCACAGGCTATGGTTACGAATCAATAATGATTTATTATTTAGAACTTGGATAGTTTTGAAAGATTTTACGATTACAAGACACAAACATATAAAGAGTGAGTAATTCATGTATTCAAATTGTATTATATTCCAGTATTAAAAAAAATCTCCGTCTTTTTAGGAATGTATAAAACGTATCATATTCAAACGGCCTTAATTCATGCTCAAATAATACTGACATTAATATTAGCATATACAGTATGGATGATGGAATTATTGGCAACTCATATAAAAATAATTATGTTTGGAGCTGACATAAAAGAATTATGGGCCAACCCTTTTCTACTTTACTTTATATTTCAGTTCTATATTTTATTAGTATTTAAAGCGGTTAAGTATTTGTTCGAATTTGAACGAGTTAATAAAAAATCATTTCAAACTAACTTTTGTCTTGATTTATAGATTAGAAGTGAATCTCACCTTTTGATGGGATTCATATATTTGGGTAATATAGGTGAATGGTTAGAAGTTTTCTTACACATTTATCATTGGTGCCCAATTGATTTAATGAATGATAGTGAGTCTAGATGTCAATTTTGGAACTTGATAAATAATAATTTTTGGTATAGATACGTATTTATATACAGTAAGTAATTGGTAATTTTCTTTCTTCTTTTATTATAAAATAACTTGTTTAATATAACATAATTTATTTCTAGCTATTGTGGCCTTATTTATCATTTCGATTCAAACTATTAATACTATAAGATGTCATCGGAACTTTGGAAAAAATTTTGGATTTTATTGTAAGATAAAGAACATGTCATCATTTTTTTTCTTTATAAAAAAGAAATATAAAAAGAAATATTGAATTTATTTTTCTCAAATCGTTCAATAGTAAGGTACCAAGACCCGCCGGAATTCGAATACAGTGATGATATCCCTTCGTATATAGCAAGGTCTAATGAAAAAGCAATCGATTTAGCTTAAAATATATTCTGATTATTCTCTTTTCATATTCAAAATACAAATATAAATCAAGCATTTTATTCCAAACGAGTCTGCTTTTCTGGCTAATTAAACTTTTGATTATGGTTTATTATCCGACATTTAACCAGTGAAGTTGGTTTTTTTGAAATTACGACCTTTAAATTTCGATAACTTCAATATTTCGAAGAATTTTGAATGCAAAAAGTATTCTATAGGGTTAAATACTTGATGTGATCACATTAGACGAAAAATATATTGTGTGTGAAATTATATATACGAGTATGCTCTTTCGACATTGTAAATCAATATGATCGTATTCGTAACGTGAATTAAATGAAAAGGAACTGCCGTGGGATCCAAGTCATGTTTTACTCCTTACTGTTCCATTAACTTATTGCATCTTCAATATTTAAATACTGTATATGCGTGATTTAAAAATTAGTATATTACAGTTAATAAAAAAGCAATATTATATAATATATTAAAATATTCATTTATTTCACATAAAAAAGTTTGTTACAATAAAGAAGAAAGAAAAATACATAATCTAAATCATTCTTAATTGATAGAGATGATTCTTCAATCAATATCTGATGATAGTTTCGCTAATTCTTCTTTACACATCCTAACTTTCTTATATTCCTCATTTAGTGTATGTTCTCTATCTTTTAACCCTGTTAATTCTTCATTCCAACTCTTAATTGTTTTATCCATATCATCCAAAGAAGTACGGCTTTCAATTTCCTTTCGATCCCGATAAATACAATATAGCGATAAAGGAGAAGGCACAAGTTTACAAACAGCTTCCAGAGTAGCTCTCACTGCTACCAAACCAGTATTATATTCAGTTTTTTCGTTATTTTCTAATTTCAAATCATTTTCAATTTCTTCTCCCAGAAAATTATTCAGCACAGTCTTAATTATGTCAATTCTTCTTTTGTCCAAATTCTGTTTTTTGAATTCTGAATTCTTGAACCGAGGACGGATTTCTTTTAATCTGCTAATAGATTCTTTTAATTCTACTTGTGAGATTTCTAATAATTCACGCTTTTCTTTGTCTCTCGCAAGGCTTTCTTCGAAAAATTTGTATACTTCATTTTCTTTAATTATTGAAACAGATTCAGTACCAGCGGCACCTAACCAACCACTAATCGATATAACAGCACCTGGCACCAAAGCAGGTGGGAACCAAATTCCCGAGATTGCCAAAGCCTTACCACTTAATATAGCAGCATGACTAAAAGTACTAGCTGTAAAACGATCTTTCATTTGTTCTTTTACTAGATTCCTGCGCGTTTCAATCATTTCGACTATATTTTCCCGTTCAAAGATGAATTCTCCTAAATAGTTGGCGTTATTATTGAACTGATGATCAACGTCGTTAATTGCTTTGATCGTTTCTTCAACAATTGAATTAAACTCTTCGACCATGATACTAAATTTTGAAAGCATTTCGGGTTTGTAAACTTCTTGACAAAATTTCAAGTGATCCAACAAGATTCTGCGAGATGCATCTCGTGAACCTTTTGCTATTAACTTATAACGACCTTTCAATGGAGGATTATCCACATAAATAGTCGCAGATGAAGCAAGCGGTTTTGAAAGTTTTGCGATTTCCTCTCGAAACGTTCTACGATCCTCTTCACATGCTACTTCATCTTCAAATCCAGAAAAACTAGTACAGACAATAGTAGTATAATGAGATACTTGATCATCAAATATAGCTTTACTGAGTAAATTAAAAGCTTCAACTTCCTCCTTAGTAAAACGACCATTAGTCACAAACAATATTTGATTTAAACCTTCGCTAACCACATCAGCTTTTTCTTCCAATTTACTTATTATATCTCCCGTTGGTCTGATAGAATCTCCAATTCCTACGGTATCAATGACACGATATTTTAATCCCCTGTGCTCAATTTCCTTAGACTTTGTTTCGCTAGTTCCTCGAATGCGATGGGTGTTTTCCTCAAATTCATTAGTTCCAGTTATAACGTTTGCTAGGGTAGACTTTCCTTTACCAGCATTGCCGATTAATAATATATTTCTAAATTTTTCTAACATGATGTTAAATTTTTGATTAAATAAAAGTTTGAAACGTATTTGATTTTTTTTTAGCGTTCAAATAGAGTGACCTAGCCTTTCTTGATCTTTTTTCCCTCCTTAAGCTAATGAAATTATAAAAGCAATAATTACGGTTTAGTCGTAAAAACTCTTTTGCTTATTTCTTGCTATTAGCAAAAAAAAAAAAATTTTTTTATCGAAATATATTGTTTTTAGATGGAAGATATAAATAATAAGCGTAAAAGGTAGAAAGTCCATATTTATACATGCATAATAAATAGTGCGACAATCAAATGGTAACAAGTAACCAATTCGATCAATGACTCGTGATAACATGCGTGAAAAAAAATTCTAATTTATCCAATTTCGAGACATAAAGAAAACCCATTCATGACCGTTTTCGAATTAAATGAAATCAGAAATAGGTCAGTGAAGCCAAGCCATTTTCGAGTTAGTTTGATCAATTAATATTGTTGATCGGATAATTAGCCGACCATAAGATTTCGGAATTTAATTCGTAAAAAATAATAATACTCAAAATCTCGCCAAGAGCTAAAATATTTCAAAAAAGTTAAATTTCATTCTCTTATACCATTCCCATTTCGTATAACATAAAATTAATAACTCAATTATCCGACGTAAAATGATTAAAACAAAAGTTTATTTTATTAAAAAGTTAACGTAAATTCCATAACGATAACATATATTATATACAATTTCTATCTAAGAAAAATCCGAATTTTTAAAATAATTTAAATTTTCATAGATGAATTACAGTTAAATGAAATAAAAGTGGAAAACAATTCTTTATTAAACCCAATATTAAGAAACTTCAATCCCTCCAAAAAAAAGTGAATTCTCACTAAAATCAAATAATAAAATGTGTGTTACCACCAACCTGGCAATTTTCAGTCGGTTGTTTGAACCTTTTCAGTCAGCCGTCGAATGATTCACGGATCCATTTTGAATTTAGCAACCATAATTGCATTATAAACATCTTAATATTTAACAAAAATTTTTAAATTTATATTTTTTTCAAAGAGTAGATAATTACAAGCGTTTGACAAAAAAAATGTTGTCAGAATCCCATTCACCAACTTTATTTAATTTATATAATTGAGAATTTCGCGATTTCTGACATTACTGTATATCAAAGACCTCAGTTAAGGCTTAGCCATTTTGAGAATTCCGGAGGCGATTCTTGTTTTACATTTATATTTTTTATTTAAAAATAGAATATACAACAAAATATTGTTTTATATAAAATAATAAATTTTTTTATTAAAAATAAAAATATAAATTTTTTTAAAAAAATACTAAAATGTGTCCTGATCGTTTACTGAGGCAAAGAATTATTTATTAACTTACTGCTTTTAATTAGAATTAAATAATAATGCGATCGCTTCGGGCAACAGCTTTCAAATATTTCATTATTATTTTTTTTTCACAGGTTTCACTTTCAGGTTTAATAATTTCTGATATTGGCTGAATTGGCTGGATTTTTTTACCTACGATGCAGCGACAGATTTTCTAGGATGATATAGGTAAGTTCTTTACTTTGTTACATTTTTTTTTAGGAACATTTCGGATAAATAAAGGAAGGTCGGTTCGACCTGCTTGCTTGTATTTATTTTTTATTATTATATTATATCTTGTTAATTAGGCTACATTAAAAATTTTTTTCAATTCAATAATTCTTTTTTAGAAAAAAATATTTCTTTGGTTAGACCGTCAAGGGCACTTCTTCTATATCCAAGTACTGAACCACCGCTCTTTAGCTTGATAATGCATCTCATTTTGAAGCTAAAACCATACAATCAGACAGTCAGTCTGCAACTTAATGGAAGTGAACATTGCTCAACCTTCTTCATTGTATTCGCCAAAGATTCAAATTTTTATTTTTTTTTGCATACATAAAGTTTTGTATAAAGCGTGTTTACAAACTTTCTATAAAAAAAGTTAAGTGTTCCAAATTAGTAATTTAATTTATGCTCTTTGAAAAAATCGAAAGTATCGCCTTTTTTGTTGCACACAAATAAGCCAATCAGAATCCATCTTTCAAGTATGGCATCAATTCTTACGTAATCATCGGTTATAAACTTTCCACATGACGCTTTCTTTGACCTTATAAAATAAACAGACTGTTTGACGCGTTAAGTCATGAATGTTTATTATAAATAAACTATTCACTCGAACATTTCTATCCTTTTCCTTCCGTCACAAATTTCCCTATTACTTATATATTCTTTTATTTACCAATTTTTTACTTTCATTATTTTGTTTGAAATTAAAAGCTCTTATTAATATTAATGTAACTTTAAGAACTATG